TTTTTTTTTTACAAATCAAAGAAACAATTTCTTGGGTCTTTGAACGGAAAAATTATGTACAAAATCGAATCCAGCGACCGCGAATTAACTTGAATACACTGTATTTTGATCCGCCTGCAGTAACTTGAAACTGTCAAGCGTTCCCACACTATTGTCGCTTCGTAAACTTAACTTGCATATTATACATTTATATATGTACATAGATACACACACCACATAAGCAGGTGTGCGATTATTTTTTCTATTTATTTTGATTTATTATTCTTTTGTTTATTTCGGCTTTTCCCTACCACCTTCCCGAAACGTATGTAGATGCTGCTTACTTAATTTAATATGTATAAAGGCGTGTCGGCTTACACACATCTACCACGTACATTGTCACATGCACAAACGCTCACATTCATACGCTTTAGTTTTGCAATAATTGAGACGCAAATGTAGTTGGGTATTTGAACATTTTTTAACTTTTTTTAGTTTACAATACATAATTTTCTGTTGTCTCGTCATTATTTCACACCGTCAAAAAAAATATATATATGTATGTATTAAACAAAAATGAACAAAACCACACGCCACCACAATCATACAACACAACAATGCCGCTGATGTGCCATAAACATAAACATCATCAACAACAACAACAACAACAACAACAATATGCACCTACTGCACCGCACAACGCACCAAATCGACCATTGTTGTCGACAGGCTCGGTTTCATCCAGCGACAGCGGACACGGCTCATATGCCCAACAACACGATACAAGTAGCTCGGTTTACACGGCTGCCGATTGTCGATTGCTCCAGCAAATATCCAATACAGCGGCGCGTAATTTGAGTGGCGGCAGCAACAGTAGTACCAGCAGTGGTGCTAGCCAATGCAGCAATAGTAGTACACCAACTACGCCAGCAACAACGCCCATTCCACCGCCGCCACCGTATCATATGTTGCGCAGCGCTACGCACAATGCCGTCAGTAATCTGTATCATGCGAATGCAACAGGTGCAGCTCCACTGCCACCGCCGCCATACGTCCGTTTACATTGCGCGGAAAATATGGTTGCACCGCTGATGCATTCGGCACACACACGACATTCCGCTATGCATGGTAAGTGCGACATAAAATAAGTTATCGTAAAGTGAAAGGAGAAAATGTGTTCAGAGAGAAAATGGGTAAAAATATGGCTGGAAATTATGTTAGTTTCAGGGTCATGCTTAGTGGTTAGTAAGCAAGCAGAAAGTCTGTTTGAAGAGGCATTATGTATGTATGTATTTCAAATGAATTTTTCCGTAATTTAATAAAACTAAAGCAACTTTAACTCTAATTATATTTGCTATATTCATTTCTTAAACTAATTTTGAATGCCTTCTTTTTTACACAGGTGGCCCCCCAAATTTCGTTGATGGCAACAATAAATGCCCGATGTGCCCAACAATGTCGCCACCATCAACTATGAATCAATAAAGTGTTTCAAAAACTTGTTTGAGATTATGTGTAATTTTAGAGTAAGTATGACTACCAAAATCCAGTATATTTTTAATTATTTCTTGCTAGCACTTACTTAGGCTACTAACAATAATTAGGGCAATTGAAAAAAAGCTGCCACTTAAGTTACTTGCAGTTCCTCTGTTGTTGTCGCAGCATATAAATTCTCCAAAGCGTTTGGGAGGGAGTGACAGGCCTTGGCCAGATATAAATCTAACTCTAAACTGAGAAAAATCCAAAGGTGCCGCAGGATGCAGTTTACTTCGTTTAATTATTTTGATTCTGCTCCTTCTTAGGGCGCTTCGTTAAACTCATGCCCCGACAACTCAAAGCTTTTTTATAGAACTAATCAGAATCAGAAAGAAGAAGAAGAATCATTTTCCACTTTGGACAAGCAAGCCAGAGAAATGCCTATTACAATAGCAAATACGCCGAATTCTCTGTCAAGATTTTGTCTAAAGCAAAAAAAAAAACAAAGCCCGTACACTTTTATCGCAGAAAATGAAGTTATGGATCGCCACTTTATTACTCACTTTCACCATGCATCACACATCACAGCTAAAGTCGTCTTTTAGGGATGCTGACCAGGAATCGAAAGACCAGGGTTAACTTTCATATTCCAATCGATGTAACAAATATAACTTGGAGCGTTCCCACGACAGTCGGTTATATGTAACCGGAACGTCCCAGATGCATATCTAGCCAAGTACTGTCACTTCAGCACCATTCTCCAAAAACTCTTTGGGGAATTTGTATGCGGTTACAACAACAACGTAACCTGGAGCCTTTTTTGTAACTGTTTGTCACACAATGCTGGATCAAGCATAGATCAGAATTTTTCTATTGACAATGTAAGCTGCAGTTCAAATGGAGAAGTAGTTGGATTCACTTGGCATTTCCAATCGGCGTCAGTTGGCACAGAAGTTAAACGACTGGCGTGCTTGGCCCAAATCGCTTAGGCGGTTACAGCGCTAAATAAGAAGAAGAAGTTGAAATGTTTACTCACAGAATTTAGTCGAAGGCTCATGTTGTTGTAACAGAATACAAATTTTGCAAGCGGTTTGGGTCCTTCCGATTAGGTAGACTTGACTGTCATGAGAAGGTTCTTATTGTTGTAGTAGCGGCTTACTTAGCCCTGCCTGGAATCGAATAGTCCCTCAATCGTTGTCGCCAAGCTCAACTAAGGAAATGTGCTAATTCGACGCGATCGGACCAGAGGGAGAAGGAGGGATGTTAGTTGGGAATTGTTGAAACTGCAGTAGGGGATAGCGTGGTACAAATACCAGCAAAAAAGGCCCTCAGGGAGGGGGTTTGTCTCCTCTTCTGTGGCGCTTAGTAGTGATTGAACTGCAACCATTAAACCGTTCGTGCGAGCGTCTGGCAGGAAAATTCTGGGGATGCAGCCCCAAGATCCCAAGATGGTTTTACATCATAATAGTACTCTGGCCACGGTTAGACAATCGCGATGCGCACATGTCCGTTGACTGCCCTGGAAGTAGCTCTCGAACTTGAGCCTCTTATATCCATAAAGCAGTTACCCAAAAGAACTCTGCTTAGCTTTGCTGGAGATCTGGAAAAGGAATATGGACAAGGTCGAGGACCCTACCTCCAGCTTGTTCTGTTCCCCAGAGATGACTTAGGCAGAACCATAGTATTTGAGAAGAGATTTAAAATAGAGCTATGCAGCAAAGCAACCTGGAGCGCCTCCGCCTTCGAGGCAGGGTTCAGTTACACGGGTCGTTTATTAAAGCTCGCTGACTGTACTCCTATGACGGCATTCACAAGAAGGGAGTTAGTGTAGAAACTCTCCCATTCACTAGAGGAGCTCCTCTGATCTCCTATGCTGACGATTCTTCGATAATGTTTTCCAGCCATACAATTTACAAGCCTGTTCTCAAAAACAAAAAAAAAGAGATCGCTCGGGTCTTTCTAAATTTTAACTGCATTCTTTTGATCAAATACCAATAGTCGGGACTAATAACCCGAACATTTTAGAAAATACTTTTGATAGCTTGTTTGGCATCTCTGCATAACCGCCACCAGAAAAAGAATGTATGTAGTACAAAAAACTAAGAACATTATTAATTCTAATTGAGAGCTTTGGATTAAAAAGGCATCTATGCAAATAAATTCGACAAATAGAGTAGCGTCTGGTGCTGTTATCATGACGTTAATGCTGAGATTTTAAAGCACTTGCTGCTTAAATGCCTTACCAAATTGAGTTACAAGGAAAATTTGCTTTCCTAAATTTGTACGCACTGTTTTTAAAGCATTTATGTATACTGGCGGCAACGCAAAACTTACCACCATTGTTTTTGTAGTAGAATTTCGTTAATTATATTATAATTCATATTATAACAAAAACTATATAAATCTAAGTTTTAAACTTTGTACAAAATTTAATAAAGTTTATCAAGTTTTTGGAAAAATTTCAAACTTAATCAAAACGGTTAGGAAAATTTCGATATATTTTAAGCCCATTTAATTTTTGTACAAGAAAGTACTCAAAATTCGGATTGATTTTTGAAAGCTTTTTTCCTACGAAGTTGCGCATTTTCCTTCATATAAAAAGCATGCGTTAAGGGCTGTTTACAGCTGTCAACAATCACAAGAAATATCTTTCATTGTTTCTGAAGAAATAAATACTTACATACAGTGACGAACAAAAGTATTGGTACAGTAAATTTTTCGCAATTAATGCAAAGTCTTTCATTCTAACTTTTTTCCATAATTCATACTAAACCAAAAAAAAAAAACAAAAAATAAAATCTCTAAACTTTTTACAAAAGTCAGGAACATTCGCAGATTTTTTGAAGTAGTATGCAGTAGTAGTAGTAGTAGTAGTAGTAGTAGTATGCCCTTTCAATTTTAGTTGCTAATTAGTGTGCAACTTTGTTGAATTTTCTTCAGTTTTGCACAAGGTTTAGAGATCTTATTTTTATGTTCTTTTGGTGCAGTATGAACTCTATTTTTATTTTTTAAAAAATTATAGAGAAAAAATTGGAATAAAAAACTTTGCATATATTGCGAAAAATTCACTGTGCGAATACTTTTGTTCGTCACTATACATATACGAGCACTTTTTTCTTGAGCGCTGCAAACTGATTTACGAAATTTTGATAGAAGAAAATTTCTTCCCGCTTCTTCCCTTTATATGGGTAAAACTACGCAAGCCCGCCAGTCAAAAGCAAAAATCAACGACAATTTTGGGTCACTTCAAACTTGCACATTATTATACTAAAATTGAATGGACCATGAAACTAGCCTGCATCCCCTATAAATATTGATTATAATAGTTTGTACAAAATTTTGAAAAATTCATTAAATTTTCAAAGTTTAAAACTTTTATTTATTTAGTTTTCTTACAGTATGAACAATGTATGTATGGATGTGTATTTAAAACAAATGATTTTTTTTATTAATGTACGAGATTCTACTTCATAAAAAATAGTGGTGGTAACGCGTGGTCGCTAGTGTATATGCTTTCTTTTATAATAAAATTGAACATTAGTTTTTTTTTACATAGCTTGATTTTTAATCNGCAGAAAGTCTTTATTAGATGTAAAATTCCCCATTCTGCTAGTGTATTAAGAAATTCATTAAAATGCGTAGCGCTGGCACGAAGTTGTCTTCTTGATTGCGCAAAATATCAAGTTCATTATTTTTGTGAGGAATGTGTATACGTACGTATGTATTTATGTATGTATGTACATATCAATGCTTCGTTTTAAACAAGCAAATGTCGTTGAATTGTTTTTGAAATACAGTATCATGACTTCGGCAACCCATCAAACATGCCTTCAGCAACAAATGAAATGGCTTTCAGCAACAAGTCAAACGACTTCTGGACCAAATGAACTGCGGCGTCTTGCTTCGCCAACCGTCCAAATGAGCTCTCGTGCTTGCGGTAACCGTCCAAATGCAGTATCGTGCTTCCGGCAGTCGATCAAATACGGCGGTTGCTGGTTTCGTGCACGTTCACTCGGAATACTGTTTTGCCGAAGTCAATATCAGTATGAGCTGTTATAAGCATCGCTCACTTGTGGTGGCTGTATTTGCAAGCACTGTACGCTATGCCCTGGTGTTCGTTCATCCCCCTTTTTTAATGTGAGCAGGCTTACAGTCACAAAATCAGGTTCGTTTGCCAGTCTCTGATGTGTACNCAGTATCGTGCTTCCGGCAGTCGATCAAATACGGCGGTTGCTGGTTTCGTGCACGTTCACTCGGAATACTGTTTTGCCGAAGTCAATATCAGTATGAGCTGTTATAAGTATCGCTCACTTGTGGTGGCTGTATTTGCAAGCACTGTACGCTATGCGCTGGTGTTCGTTCATCCCCCTTTTTTAATGTGAACAGGCTTACAGTCACAAAATCAGGTTCGTTTGCCAGTCTCTGATGTGTACATGCCACTTTTTACATATGGAAATGCCAACATATCGTGTAAAGGCAAATTAGATTTGTTTCACACAGAAATGTTTCTATTTTCATCTGACACACAGATACAATCATCTGAGTTTAGTTTATTTCGTTTTCAAAGAACGTGTTTTTAAATAGTGTTTTAAAGACTGTGAATTTGACAGACATACGCAATTAGTACATATGTATTGGAAAAATCACATTTACAGATGCAAATACATATCGTGTAAGAACACCTTTAACAGTTCACTTTTGATTTTTGTTATGAAAATCGACTGTTAACTTCTGAATGTAAATGAGAACTCTCCATTTTTTTTTCTCTGCTTTCTTGGTAGGGGACCTTAGCGGTCCCAAAAAAAAAAACAGGTTATTCCTCCGTGCTTGATATTCTCTTTAGTGTAGCATTGAAGTTGCCAAGTAGAAAAACATTCTCATTTTGCTCAAGGAAATTTAAGGTTCTGATAAGTTCTGTATTAAAGTCATGTGTGTTTATATTGGGAGGAAAATATGTATTGCAAATGGTAATGCTGGTACTGAGATTTGTGGTTTTGATTANGCATTGAAGTTGCCAAGTAGAAAAACATTCTCATTTTGCTCAAGGAAATTTAAGGTTCTGATAAGTTCTGTATTAAAGTCATGTGTGTTTATATTGGGAGGAAAATACATATGTATTGCAAATGGTAATGCTGGTACTGAGATTTGTGGTTTTGATTATTAAGACATCATGATCGGAGTTAAAGGTCATTCCTTTATATTTTTAACTATGTTTAAGGACAGTCGCCACTCCCCCACAATCATCGTTACGATATTTTTTAATCAAGTTGATATTTGTCCAGTACTGCTCGCCATAATTTGTGGACGGTGTTATTTAGTGCAAATGTAACTCGGACTTATATTAATTATCTAGTTCAAGATGGCTCCTCGACGAGTACGGTCGTGCTTACGTGTCGAGTTCTGTTAAAAGCAAATATCTGATTAGTATACACACAAAAATGAAGTCGGCTCATTAAATATAGCATTAAAAGTTTTAAAACAAGAGAAGTTAATACTACAAAATAATAATTACATAAGTAATGTAATAGACGTTGACATCAAGAAAATTGATACTAAAATTAAATGAACATACATAACTGTTCCACAAAACGAAACAGAAAATTTTTCAATCACATAAAATTAAATAATTGGAGGAATAACCTCGCGATATGAGGACACATGTAGTTCCCTGCCATTGAAATACAATAAATTACCAAATTGGGGGGAATAACCTGGCGACATGAGGACTTAGTTCCCAGCCATTTAAATTTCCATCTGAAAAATTACATTCTGACATATAACCAATAATTAAAGGAATAACCTGGTTACTTGTGGACCATTAAATACACAATACACTTTTTAATTTGATATAATTGACAACGAATTGAATGGAATAAGACGTATGATACATATATGAGCCGAAACTTTTGCAGTGGTTCTGGCCCTCAGCGGTATTACCATCGTGTATCAGTGGAGC